GCTGGGACCACAGGTGAGCACCACCATGTCTGACTAGCTTTTTGTATTTTTAGTAGAGATGAGGTTCACCATGTTGGCCAGGCTGGTCTTGAACTCCTGGCCTCAACTGATCCACCCACCTTGGCTTCCCAAAGTGCTGTGATTACAGGCATGTGCCACCACTTCCAGCATCACATAAATCAGCTTCATGCAGTTCTTGCTTGCCGTTCCTTTGACTTTGATGTCCAGACTTGGTGCAGCTCCAGAACATTCCCAGCCCTCAAGGAATCCTGAGCCTTTCCAACTGGACCCCAAGTCTGACCCTAAAGCTCTGATCAAATCTTCTTTTGCATCTCGTGCCCACTGATTCAGATGCCCCCAGTTTCCTTGGACTCCAGCTCTAGAATGTCCCTGTACCACCTCTGCTCATATTGGCCCTCATTAGCTGTACTGCTTGAAAAAGACTTGCCTGTCTCTCTTAGAACTTTCTGAATTTAGCTTGTTTAAAAACCCAAATCTCTTCATACTCCTTACTTTCCTCTCACAGGGTAACCAACCTGTGTGTGGATATATAGCACTTATTTCTATGTCTTCTCTCTAGAAACACTGACATAAACCTCATCAGACCTAAACCTACTCATGAGTATTACTCTGGCCCCAGGATGACTGATCTAACTCTCAGTACAAATAGAATCACAGTAGCGGGTAGGATAGGGGGAATTTCAGAAGGAGGTAAAAAACAAAGCTGTTTCAGTGCCATTTGAAGAACAAGATAGCACCTCAGCTGCCTCTGCTCTGCTCTGGAGACAGAGGCATTAACTGAGATGAGTCCCTCCTAGCCAAAAGCCCCCAAACAATGTCTAGCTATTGACCACAATCACCATAACCAGCTTCTGTTTGGTGAAGTGGGGAGGAAGGCACGACTTCTCTCGTTCTAGCCCTCAAAATTTATTGCTTTATTGATTTGACTCTCAGCCTGAACATTATTGATGTATAGAAATGTCACTGATTTTGTACATTGATTTTGTATTCTACAACTTTGCTGAAGCTGTTTATCAGATCTAGGAGCCTTTGGGCAACAATTATGTGGTTTTCTAGGTATGGAATCATATCATCAGCAAAGAGAGATAGCTTGACTTCTTCTTTTCCTATTTGGATGCCTTTTATTTCTTTCTCTTGCCTGATTGCTCTGGCCAGGAATTCCAGTACTATGCTGAATAGGAGTGGTGAGAGTGGGCATCCTTTTCTTCTTCCAGTTCTTTAGGGGAAAGGCTTTCAGCTTTTCTCCATTCAGTATGATGTTAGCCATGGGTTTGTGATAGATGGCTCATTTTTTTTTTTTTTTAGATGGAGTATTGCTCTGTCACCCAGGCTAGAGTGCAGTGGTGTGATCTCAGCTCACTGCAACCTCTGCTTCCTGAGTTGAAGTGATTCTCTTGACTCAGCCTTCCAAGTAGCTGGGATTACAGGTGCCTGCCATCACACCTGGCTTATTTTTGTATTTTTAATACAGATATAGTTTCACCATGTTGGCCAGGCTGGTCTTGAACTCCTGACCTCAAGTGATCCGACTGCCTTGGCCTCTCAAAGTGCCAGGCTTGCAGGTGTGAGTAATCTATAAATGGCTCTTATTATTTTGTGGTATATTCTTTTGATGCCCAATTTGTTGAGGATTTTTATCATAAAGGGGCACTGGATTTTATTGAAAACTTTTTCTGTATCTATTGAGATGATCATATGTTTTTTTTTTTTTAATTTTGTGTATGTGGTGAATCACATTTATTGATTTGTATATGTTGAACCAACCTTGCACTCTAGGACTGAAGCCTATTGATCATGGCATATTAACTTTTTGACGTACTGTTGGATTCATTTGCACTATTTTGTTAAGAATTTTTGCATAAATAAAAAGAAGTTTTGCATCTATGCTCATCAGGAATATTGGCCTGGAGTTTTCTTTTTTTGTGGCGTCTCTGCCAGATTTTGGCATTAGGCTCATGCTGGCTTCACATAATGAGTTAACGAGGAGCTCTACTGCCTCAATTTTTTTTTTTTAGATGGAGTCTCACTGTGTCGCCAAGCTGGAGTGCAGTGGTGTGATCTTGGCTCACTGCAACCTCTGCTTCCTGGATTTAAGTGATCCTACTGCCTCAGTCTCCCGAGTAGCTGGGACTACAGGCATGCGCCACCACACCCAGCTAATTTTTTTTATTTTTATTAGAGACGGGGTTTCACCATGTTGGCCAGGATGGTCTCAATCTCTTGACCTTGTGATCTGCCTGCCTCAGCCTCCCAAAGTGCTGGGATTATAGGCATGAGCCACTGCACCCAGCCATCTTCAATTTTTTAAAAGAATAGTTTCAGTAGGACTGGTACCAGTTTTTCTCAAGAACACAACCGCATTTACAACAGCCACAAAGAGGACGGGTGCGGTGGCTTAACACTTTGAGAGGTCGAGGCGGGTGAATCACGTGACGACAGGAGTTTGAGACCAGCCTAACCAGCATGGAGAAACCCCATCTCCACTAAAAATACAAAGTTAAGCATGGCATGGTGCCACATGCCTGTAATCCCAGCTATTCGGGGGGCTGAGGCAGGAGAATCGCTTGAACCTGGGAGGCAGAGATTGCGGTGAGCCAAGATCGTGCCATTGCACTCCAGCCTGGTCAACAAGAGTGAAACTCTGTCTCATAAAAAAAAGGAAAAAAGAAAAGAACGAAATAATAAAATCTTCTTCTTTAGAAAGAAAAAAAAAAAGAAAAAAAAAGAATAAAATCATGTCCTTAGTAGCAACATGGATGGAACAGGAGGCCGTAATCCTAAGTGAATTAGTGCAGGAACAGAAAGCCTAATGTCACATGTTCTCATTTATAAGTGGGAGCTTTACACTGAGCACCTACATACATAAACATGGGCACAGTAGACACTGAAAACTACTAGAGGTGGAAGGAAGGATGACATGGGTTGCAAAACTTCCTATTGAGTGCTATGCTCGCTACCAGAGTGTAATATAACCATGTAACAAACATGTACATGTACTCCCTGTATCTAAAATAAACCTTGAGAAAAAAAAATTAAAAATTTCTTGCTTGTACTATTGCCAGAGTTTCTGAACTGAGCTCTTTGTCTTCTCTACATTAGCTGCCTTGCCTTGGGTAAGTCCTTTCCTCTCTCTGATCCCCAGTTCCCCTGATCTGGAGTGAGGGCTGGCCTAGCTGGTCTCTGATTAAATCTCTGATTTAGTCTCTCCCTCTGTTTCCCATCCTCTCCTCCCCAGAGGTCCAACTTCATCTTTCTCCTTCAGCCCCTCTTTCCCCCTATTTCCTTAGCTCCCCCAGCCTCTGATGCCTCCTACCCCTACTTGGACTTCTATGCCCCCTTTCATTTTTTTTTTTTAAACGGAGTCTCTCTCGTCACCCTGGCTAGAGTCCAGTGGCGTACTCTCTGCTCACTGCAGCCTCTGGGTTCTGGATTCAACGGAATCTCCTGCCACAGCCTCTCGAGTACCTGGGATTACAGGCATACGTCACACCTAGCTAATTTTTGTATTTTTAGTAGAGATGGGTTTTGCCATGTTGGCCAGGCTGGTCTTGAACTCCTGACCTCAAGTGACCCATCTGCCTCAGCTTCCCAAAGTGCTGGGATTACAGGTGTGAGCCACCACACCCAGTCCCCGTTTCCTTTTTAGTAGTGTGTTCAGCTGCTTGACACTCTCTACCCAACTCTCCCCTGTGTATGTGTGTTGTAGGGAGTAGCTGGCATGGGAGGTGGGGAATGACACAGAGGGAGTTTCCACTTTCCAGAAAGTTGGAGTCAACAACCAACTTCTTTGTTTTTAGGCATTTAGCTTTGTGCCAGGTCCCTGTGGGGGCTAGGTGAACATGAGTGAAGGAATCAGTTGAGTTCCTTGAACTTCTGGTAAAAAAGGACCTATGGCCTTATTAAGGAGTGTGATGAGCTGCCATTGCTACTCCTGCTGCTGAGGCTTTCTGATCAGTTCTGCTCTTCCTTGGGGACAACTGCTCATGGAGACTGTTTGGGCTTTCGGATGAGTGCTGCTCTTTGAACAAATGCTTAGCTCAAGGAAATGGTCTTGGCAGGGAACTTTGTTTACCCTAGCATACATGAAGGAATCTTGTCAGCTGTGAGAGAAACTGAGGCACATTGAATTGTGGACACTGTTGGGCTAGGAAGGCAGAGGAGGAGGGAATAAAACTACTGGTTCCTGAGTGCAAATGCAAGACCAGCCCATACGCAATCCTGTTAGGCTCATCTATTGTCCTAGGGAGTCAACTTCCTTTCTCATCCTTTCATAGTGTCAGAGTGGGAAAGGACCTTGGAAGCCCAGGAGTCCAGTACTTTCTTGCTACAGAAATGGAAACTCAAGCCCAGAGAGGGGAAGGGAATTACCCAAGGCCACATAGTGGTCACACGATGAGTTAATGGCAGAGCTATGAGTAGAAGCCAGGTTTCCTGACCTCTCAAATATCCTTTCCGTTGTCTGAAACCAGCTTACCATCTGTGGTGCCTTACCTCGCAAAGGATACTCAGACCATGCCTTCACATGGTTGTCAGTGGAGAGGAGAAAAAAAAGGACTCTGTCTAGCCACTTTCAAACTAAAACTCAGACTTATTTTATTTTACTTTTTTTGGAGATGGAGTCTTGCACTGCTGCCCGGGCTGGAGTGCAGTGGCCCAATCTTGGCTCACTGCAGCCTCCGCCTCCTGGAAGCGATTTTCCTGCCTCATCTTCCCTAGTTGCTGGGACTATAGGTGTGCACCATCACCTCTGGCTAATTTTTTTTTTTTTTTTTTTTTTTTTTGTATTTTTAGTAGAGATGGGATTTCACCATATTGAGCAGGCTGGTCTCGAACTCTTGACCTCAAGTGATCTGCAGGCCTCGGCCTCCCAAAGTGCTGGGATTACAGGTGTGAGCCACTGCGCCCAGCCTCACTTATTTTGTTTTTATATATATAGATACGGGAGAGGGTCTTGATATGTTCCCCAGGCTGGTCTCGAATTCCTGGGCTCAAGTGATCCTCCTGCATCAGCCTCTCAAAGTGTTGAGATTACAGTCATGAGCCACCGCACTCAGCCTAAAACTCAAACTTGACCAGACGACTGCAACAGTCTAGAACACTGCCATCCTGGGATTCTGTGACCCTGACAAAAAGGAGAAAGGGAGCTGGCAGACAAATGTCAAGGGTGTGCACTAGGGAGGTCACATCTAAACTGAGAGAATTAATAGCCAGATTCATCAGAACATCAGAAAGTGAATGTACTGGGGGAGGGGCTAAAGGATCAGGACACTGATTTGAGGGAGGTGGAGACTGGGATTTAGAGGAAGCAAAGAGTAGAGAACAGAAATGGGGAGAAGGAGGTCAAGTCTGTTGAAATGAGGGCTGAGCAAGGATGGGGAGGAAATATGATGGGGAGAGTCCTACAGAAGAGAATAAATGAAGAGTTGGAAGAGGTGAGGCAGTTTAGCAAACGAAGAGTAGTTTCCTGTGGACCTGACATCTTCAGGCCTTTGAGGAGCTGTTAGGGACAACAGGGATCTGTGCGGCCTCAGGGAGCAGAGCTGAGATCCCAGGATGGAAGCCGTAGAGAAAAGGAGTTCCGACATGCAAGAACTTTCTAAGAGCCAGGGTTGTTTTAAGAAGGAAAAGATAGCTGTGATAGGTAGTGAGCTCCCCATCGGTGGAAAGTTGCAGTCAGGGGCTGCGTAATCATCTGTCAGGGTGCGGCCCAGGGTCTGGGCCCTGAGTGGGGGTGGGGCTGGAAGGCCGGGACGTGGAAGGCTAGGGGGTGTGAGGAGGGTGGGAGAGGAACGGGGTGGGTCTGGGTCGGGAGTGGTAGCTCCGCTAGGTCCGCTCGGGCCCAGTCGGGCCCCCCACGTGGCCGCTGTGGCCGGGCTGCGCCGGGCTGGGCCAGGCTGGGCTGGGCGGGGCAAGGCCAGCGGTCGGCGGGGAGGCGGGCGCGAGGGCGGGGAGCGGCGCGGAAGCCGGGCCACATAAAGGAGCGGGCGGCGCGACGGGGGCGGCTCTTTCCTGGGTGGGGTTTGCGAAGTCGTGGCCCGTTAGCAGGAAGCCGAACAGTCGCCCCGACGCTACTGAGGACCCAATCTGAGTCCCCGGCCACCCAAATCCGAGCCGTGTGTACTGCGTGCTCAGCACTGCCCGACAGTCCTAGCTAAACTTCGCTAACTCCGCTGCCTTTGCCGCCACCATGCCCAAAACGGTGAGTGCTGGGGTGGGCGCTGTCGACCCCAAGGGCTCTGGCTGAGTCTCATAGTCGTTTTCTGATGGCTGAGGGCTTGGCCAGCCACCGACCCGCCTGGGACGCCGCGCCCTCCGCCATAGCCTAGGGTAGGGAGGGGACCGGAGTGGGAATCCTGGTCTGGTGCGCCCTCAGGGGTTGAGGGGGTGTCCAGGCTGGAAGTTTGGACAGGGCGAGGCCTGCCTCTTTCTCAGGTTCCAGTTCCCTGTGTCTGAGATGGAACAGTGAGGATGGCTTCGTTGGGGCCTGGGGACTCCCCTTTCCCCTGACGGGCCATGGGCACAGAGGAGAGGAATTCTGGTCAGAAGACAACACTTCCCCCAGCTCAGGAATTGGCACCTTTCAGGGGCAAGGCTGCCAATGTCCAAGAGGGGCCTTGGGAACAGAGAAGTAGGGAGGAAGGAGGGAGCCGCTCGGGGCGGATCCCACACCCCCACTCACCTTTCCCACAGCCTCACCGGGTGGCTCCAGCTGTTTTCCACTAGGAGGTGAGGAGAGAGATGTGAGGAAATCGTCATCGAGGCTGCACCCGAGAGCACCAACACTTCATTAGGCGCCAGTCTGAGGAGAGGCCTACCCTATCTCCTGGGAGAGAGGACTAGTTTCTCCCTCCTCTCCACCCCCAAATCCCTGCCCCTCCCATTGCTTAATGCCTCTCTATCTCCTCCTATACCCGCTGGACTATTTTGTGTGGTGTGGGTTCTCTCGTCGGGCCACACCTTTCTAGAGTGGTGGTTGATTTGGGGATGCGTCTCCACCCCACTGGCTGTTATGAGAGGAACAGAAGCCTCCTGGGAGTGGGGTTAGGGGGGCCGGATGCCCAGGAGGGAGGAGGGAGGAGGGGTGTGCCTGACTAATGAGCTCTGCTTGCTTTTGTGCAAGTCATGCCAAATGGCTGCTGGGGCCATTCCCTTGCTCAGAAAGGCCTAGTGACTACCCTGGCTTGAGTCCCTTAGGCCAAACAGCTTGTTGGGCTGGCCTAGGCAATGCAGTGCTCCCAGACATGTCTCCCCAGGACTACTTGAGCTTTGTAGAGGTGAGATACTGACTAGTAGCCTTGGAAAGGGCTGAAGGCCCCTGGATGAGAGGAGGCGAGTTGGGGGCCTAGCCTTTTGGGTTTGTGATGAGCTTTGGGTGCCACATTACTGTATACCAGCCTCACTGCCAAGTCATTCTTGCCTTTCCAGAACGTTGTCCTTCAGAAACACCAAGTTTTCAAAAAATGTGTGCTTTCACTGTTTATCTCCTTTAGATTACTTGTGGTTTTAGGACATGAGGCTTTTACACACTTTCTTCCCAGTTCCCCTGCCCCCAAGGAGAGAGTAATGGTTTTGGAGACAGGGGAAAATACCCCATTGTCTGCCAAAACAGGATTATGAAGATCCTGTCAGGAGCGGCTCTTTGGGTCTCTCTCTGTGGTTGACTCCTGACTCCTCTTAAGGTGTGGGTTTGCCTGAACAGTTGGGTGGATCCCTGGGAATAGACGTTGCTCCATGGCCTTTCTTCTGTAGTGGCATATCTCATCCTCAATTCTGCCATATCCCACCTTGAAACACAACTTCATGGGCCTGGAAGTTGCCTCAAACTTGCGTGAACCATCTCATCTCAGTCAAAGTGGCAAAGAAGACAAGACAGTGCATTTATTGTTTTTCTGGGAACGGAGAGAGATTGGAGTATAAGCTGTAGTCAGGCCTAGAGTAATGAAGGTGTCTAAATACTGAAGGCATTTTTATGCAGATTAACTGAAACCTGAATTAAATTGGAAGGAGAGGGCTGAATTTTGATAGACTGGAAGCATTAGAGAATTTTCTGTGCTTTGACTTAAGGAATGGTCAACTTTTAGGAAAAACAACTATATGTCTGTTAAGGCCATAGAATCTTAACCTGAAAGGGACCTTGGAGACTATCTATTTAGGATAACTCTCTTTAAAAACAAACAACAACAACAACAACAACAACAACAACAAAACCAAAAAACAAAAAACTAATGAGGAAATTGAGGCCTACAGAAAAAGACCTACCTAAGGGCATATGGTGACTGAGCCAAGACTGGGGTCCAGGCTTTCTGATGCTCTTCTGATTGACCCTCTGTTCTGACCCAATGATTGAGTTCTTCACATTTGAGTTCTCTTTCTTGCTCCAAACAAATTGCCCCCTGTTCTCAGAACTTTATGGTCCTCAGATCAAAGGAAATGAGTAATTTGAGCAAAGTGGCCAAGGCTGGCATTTGTGTCATGTCCTGCTAAGGTTCAGCAGTGTCACCAAGTGCCACCTGTTACTTTTCTTATTCCTCATCCCAAAGTCGAGCTGTTCAGGGGCGCATCCTAGTTCACTAAATACGAACCAGTGACTTTAATGAAAAAAGGAAAAAATTTCCCTTTCTCTGCTCCCTTTTCATTGATGTGCTTTAAGCTATTTCTAGCGTATGGCAGATAGAGAAGAGTAGTGGAAAATCAAACTCGTTCATTCATGTGAAGCATGTCTACAGCCTATCTAGGGTCAGTTTCACTTTTATAGCCAATTGTCCCACCTAGTCAGCCCAACCTCCCCTACATCTGTTAAAACATGCTGGCTGGGTGCGGTGGCTCACGCCTGTAATCCCAACACTTTGGGAGGCTGAGGCTGGTCGATCACAAGGTCAGGAGTTTGAGATCAACCTGACTAATATGGTGAAACCCCATCTCTACTAAAAACACAAAAATTGGCCAGGGTGGTGGCAGATGCCTGTAATCCCAGCTACTCAGGAGTCTGAGGCTGGAGAATTGCTTGAACCTGGGAGGCAGAGGTTGCAGTGAGCCAAGATTGCGCCATTGCACTCCAGCCTGGACGACAGAGCGAGACTCCTGTCTCAAAAAAAAAAAAAAAAAAAAAAAAAAAGCACTACCCGCCACCGCCCTTGCCTTCTTGCCATTCCTTGGACTCTGCTTCTGGTTGCCAGTTTCCTGAGTCTGCTTTAGTAGCCAGAATGGAAAAGCTTATTAATTGCTATGTACATCTTCTGGTGATGATGACAGTTATATATATATATTTAAAAAGGCTTTTCCCCTCACAACCTTCTTACCTTCTTTAATTTTTTTTTTTTCTTTTAAGATCACAAAGGCTTTAAGGCTCTTTTGGATTTCCTAAAAAAAAAAAAAAAAAAAAAAAAAAAGAGGGTGTTGTGAATTTTCAAGATGTCCTTGAGTTTCTGGTTTCCTTTTTTGGGATTTATTAAATTTAGTATTGAAAAGTCTCTCCACAACTATGAAGTCCGATTCCTATCGTTGTATAGATGGTGAAACTGAAACCCATGTTATGGGGAGACTAACCTAGAGTGATGCAGTATGTCAGTTGCAAAACTAGGACTTGAATCTAGGTCTTAGAGCATCAGTCTTGGTGAAACACCTCTTTGATCTGCTGGGGTTTTAGCCATATATCAGCAGATTAAGGGAAAGATAATCAACTGTCATTTGGTGGGACCATCAATGTGAGCAGACATAGAGCCTAGCTCCTTGAAGTATTTGAAGGTGTCTAGGTCGGCATTCAGCTAAACTTTAACAGGGGCTATGTGAATTGTTTATTCTCCTGCCATTCCTAGCATTGCTTGAGCCACTCGAGTGGCACTAAAGTGGTACTTGGTAAATAGGAGCCAGAACCTCAGTCTTTTAACCCTTGAACCAGCCCTGCCTGCAGACTTCAGGGTGGGGAAAGGATCAGGAATAGAGGTTGTGTGAGAGAGGATCCTGCCATCTTTTCACTTTGATTCTGAAGTTCACTTGGCCCTTTGTGAAAGTGTAGATGATACAGATAGAGCAGGAACCATCTTGGGAATTTCCTTCAGGCTTTTCTTTGAACAGCCGTCTAGGTAGTAAGGGGGCTGGTGGGGCAGGAAGGCCTTTGTGGGACCCACACCAACTAATCTAATACTCTCTCGTGTTAGGCTTGGAGAGGGAAAGGTTGCTCTTTGAGTCAATGATAGAAGTAGTATTGATCACTAATCTAACTTTCCATTCTCTGGCTGCCTGCAAACAGTAGGTTGTTTTAGGGTGTTGTTCTTACTTTCCTCTTACCTCCTCCCCCAATGGAACTGCTTTACTGAATGATGGAGCTGGAAAGGATATTTGGAAGTCATCTAATCTATTCCCTTGCCTCCAAATCTAATTCTCTCTGGATGAGATAATATGACAGTTACAATTATTCTGAACTCTGTTCTAGTGTTGCATGGCAACAGCCTGTCTTAGGTCCCTTTGTATCTTTCTGACAGTTTCCCTCACTGGAATTTCTAGACTCAGGGTCCCCAGAGGGGAGAAGATCTGGCGACCAACGCTACCAGAGTTAGGCCTTTCATAACCATAGCTGCTGGAAATTTGGCATTGTTACAGATTGGAAACAGTCTTGTCTCTGATCTTTCAAAGATAGACTTGAATTTATCATGTGCCTCTTTCTTAACTCACAATCTTCTTTTTCCCCGCCACCTGCTCCATTACTTTGCTTGCAAAGGGGAAAAAACAGGGTCCAAATGTGGTCTTCTTTGGGGTAGTCTATTGGTTCAAGTGAACGGGGTGGTCTTTTCATGATTTACTGGCTTTGCTGTCTGTCCCTCCTCCCATTTCATGCTTTATAGAGCTGGAAAACTTTTCAAGTCCAGATTCTAATTTGTGGTGTAGAAGTTGTCACTTTGGAGGGTTAGCTCAGGATTCCATGAATTTGGAAAGTGGGTGCTGGGAAATGGTAAGCAACACTGAACTGAGAATTTTTCTCCTCTTTCCACGTAAGAAGAATCTCTCTCCTGTCCTCAGTAAAGTGAGTCAAATGAAGTGGGTCTTTAGGCTCGTCCTTTCTTCAAGCCTTCTGTCTCTCTAGCTTGTCGTGACAGAGCTGTACCAGTGATGGGTAAACTCTAGGAATCCCTCCAGTACTGATGTTTTTGAGAATCTTGATGGCATAGCACTGAGTCTCTTATTTGTATGTTCATTCCTTCAGACATTCTTTCTTCAACATTTGGGCACCTTCTGTGTGTGAGGCAGTACTGGAAATAAAAATTGAACAGTACTTTAAAAAATGTATCCTCTTTTCCCATTATACTTCTGGAGTGCTGTTTCTACTTCAGTGCTGAGTTCAGAATGGATTGTTTCTCACATGCAGTTAGTTTGTTTCATTAGTAGATCCAAGAAGAATATTGGCTTGAGTACTCTTAGCCATTTCTTCCTGAATCTATGAAAGAGAGAGGGCTTGTCTTTCCTTACTGCGGAAAGAAATAAACCAAGTGAGATTATATTATGAAGGCTGTGCGTTGACTGAAAAGCTCTGGACAAACACCAGAAGCTTCATAGATTTTCCTGCCATTCTTTCCACATTTTCCAGTGCCTGCCTGCCTGATAGTAGAATAGTCCCTTTTATTTCTGCTGAAAGGCCTGGAAGCTACTAGATTATGTTTTAGATTTTCTTCTAACATGATGAGTGCCGTAGTTAGATATATTGGTAGATATTGAGGCCTTCCTAAGGGCTCCTAAAGTATCTCCTACCAGTGAACTGCGGACTGGCTATTGTGGAGTACAGCATTTCAAAGGCATTTGCACATAGGGCAACCCAGAGCTTCCCTAGCCTTAAGCTTCCCTTTAGCTGCTGGATGGGCTGAGTTTCTCACAGGAGTGTTTTGAACCACAGAACAAATGAGCTGGCCTTAAAACTTCTGCCTCAGCCTTTATCTTCTTGATGGGGGCACTAAAGTCCAGAGAAGGGAAAGGATTTGAGTGAACTGGTTATAGGGCCATGACTAAACCCCAACATGCTTGGCCCCAGTGTAGGGGAAGGACTTTGAA